TGTGGCGCAGGGAGTCTCAGAAAGGGAAATAGACGTCAACACGCGGGGGTCATTCTTTTGAATTGCATGTGTATTAAGTGAGTCTAATTCCATCCTTGATTCTTCCTTACTTCGGCCCGAGGGTGGCACATCCGTCACTCTCGAGCTGCGCCATTTTTTGACGTATCTGCCGCCGATGATGATGAACCTGATTGTCCTCCTAACCCTATTGCAATGCCGCTATCTTGGCCTCCAGCTCTGCTATCTTGCCTTTACCATTACCACCAGGTCTTCCTCGACTTCCTCCGCCTCTTGAGTTTGAATTACACCAACGGGCTAAATGATCCTTCTTTCTGCACTTGAAACACAGGCGGTCCGACATTCGGCGGTTGTATTCGTCCAAGGATATGTTGAATCGAGCGGATGAGATATCCATGGCATCAGGGTCAGTTGGTCGTACAGTTGTAGCTGGGGCAGTCGCCTCTCCTCGCAAGTCATTGTCAATGGCGCATGCAAGTTTGGTAATGCCTTCTAAGTCATCGAAATGGTCTCGAATCATTGGAATGCGGACGGCGCTCTTCAGTCCTTGACGGTAGTGACTAATGAGAGTTGGGAGTTCCCACTTGGTAGTTGGCGCGAGCTGGTTGAAGCGGATGGTGTACTCAGCTGCCGACTTGGTTTGCTTCAAGGCACGGAGGGCGGCCTCGGCTCGTTTCTAACGATCTGAGTCGAAGAAGACTGATTCAAAGACGCGGGTAAACTCAAGGTACGTGACAGGGGTAGTTTCGGCCTCAGGAGGTGCTAGTATTCGCTGAAGGAATGGTTGGGCCCATTTGATTGCCTCGCCAGTCAGATACGAAATAGCAAACATCACTTTGGCATCGTCCGTAGCGAAGAGGGATTGGTTCATGGCAATGTAGATCCCAACCTGGCTTGCGTATGCCCAACAATGGACCAGCTGCGCTTTTTTGCGCTTCGGGCCTGGCAGCTGGAGCGCAGCTGAAATCCGCTGCGAGAATTTTCAATTTGCTGCAGCGCAGCTTCTAAACGCTGTGTTCCAAGGCGCAGCGCAGCATTTACATGCCTCATTCTGAAACTCCAAGCTGCAGCGCAGCGCCCTGAAACGACCGCTGCAGCTTTTCAGCGCGCTGCAGTTGCTTACCTCATCAGAGAGTCACAAAACACAAAAAAAATTATTATTGCAATTTGAAACCAAAGATGCAAAAAACATCATAAATAGTCTTTTTCTCAAACACAAACAGAAGCAAAAGCAAAAGCAAAAGATAGAAAAGAGGTTTTTCTAAAAATGGTGAACAAAATCGCAAAAAAGAAGTTCATTTTTTCATGGTAAACAAAGATAGAAAAACACATCGACAAAAGGGACCCTTGGGAGTCTTATACTCTAGATTACGAATTCAAAAAAATTGGTTCACCTAAGCAAATCTTCTGATCAACTTGATGCTGAAGTCGTAACCCTTTCCTATCCAAAGATCTGCCTCTACTTCTGACATCACCATCACCAAACTGGTGATCCAATAGATCTTCATCATTAGTAGTAGAAAGAGAAGGATAAACCAAAGATAAAATATGTTGTGAAGGTTTTTGATTATGATCTTGATGTGGATTAGCTTTACATAAGAATTGATTTGATAAAGATCTTGCAAATCCAGTCAAATTGTATGAATGAATTGGATGAATCAAGTCGATCCTTGATTTTCCAGTTTCTATTTCAATTAGATGATGATGATCATGATCATGTTGGATCGATTGGATAGTTTTGTTTGATGATATGTTGATTAGTATTACTTAGATAATGATGGCTTCTTTTTTTGATTCTTCTTTACTTGATGATGATTTTGATGGGGTTTGATCTTTCAAATATGATAAACATGTCAGAAGTTCCAGAATCGAGTTAGATGGCTTCAATCAGTGGGTTGAAAAGTAGAGAGTCAATTGAGGATGATTCTTGTGAACTTTTTTGACTGTGTTGTGAGTCTGATTTTGCTTTTTCAAGATTTGAATGTCATTCAAGATTCACCCAATTGTTCAAGTTGATAGTCTTGACTTGGAGAAGTTTATATAAGTTGATGATGGTGTTTGGATTGATTGAGAAAGCAATAAAAATTGAAATCCGACTTGCAAACTGACTGCTTTGAGTCATAGATGGCAAAGAGAAGATTGTGACTTGATTGTTTGGTCCAACAGTCACACGTAGTCCTGAATTTATCGGACCTTGAGCAACAGTCAATAGCTTGATTTGAATCAAATGACCTTTGCATGGTTCCTAAGTTGCACACCAAGAGTAAGATAATCGAATTTCATGTGATTGATGTGTATGCTTCAAACGATTTGAATGTTGTTGAAGAAGTTGGTAAAGTTGAATCTTGATTTTGATCATAAAGCATAGTCAATGAAACTCTTGATGCTGTTGATTGCTGAGCTGGAATTTCAAGTTTGGACTCTTTACCACAATTACCCGCTGACACGCTTTTTAGCGGGTCAGCGGTCCGAAGCGCAGCTTGTGCAGCGGTTGGGGCCAGCTGCACAGCTGGAGCGCAGCGGGCCAAAACAATTGGCTTTTGGCTGGTCCGTCAGCGCAGCTCACTTGAGCTGCGCTTCTGGGCCTCAGAAGCGCGGCGGCCCGGCGCTGCGCAGCAGCTGGCAGCGGCTGCCTGCAGCGCAACTGGTCCAACATTGGTATGCCTCGGCCAATGCGCCTCTTGCACCCTCGTACTTATTGGGGGTTGCAACCTTGATTGCAGGCATGACGGTGTTCGTGGTCGGGGTGGTCGGCGATGGAGTTGGGGCAACGCTGGGCTGGCTGGCTGGTGGGTTTGACGGTGCTGATGGCGCTCCGTTGGTCCGGGCAGCCTCAAGTTGAGATACTCGAGCTTTGGCTTGGGTACGCCGGGTGGTTTCCTCCGCAAGCTTAGCGGCCAACTCGGTCCGTTCAGCGGTCTCTTGATTGAGACGGTTGTTGATTTCTGCCAACTGCTGGGCCAAACGGTTAAGGTCGTTGTTGGTGGCCATGTCAGCGCTTACGCCGTGCCACGAAGTGTCGTTGGACGATTCGGTTTCTTCGGTTGGTGGGTGATAGGAAGGCGTGGTGGCTTTGGGGTTGGTAGGTTGTTCTAATATAACTTGATCACACTATTCTGATGATTAAACTGAACTTCTTCTTCTTCTTCTTGATAAAAATATTTTTCTATGCTTCTTCTCTTCTAATGTAAGAAAAAAAATTTCTCTTTTAACTTCTTCTTTTCTTCTTTCTTCTTTTCCTTCTGTCTGTCTCGGGTAGATGCTACAATGTGTTATGGCCTGCTTCTGGGGGCCTGACGTGGAGGGACAGAGAGAGGGACAGGTGTGAGGTATGATGTATAACTATTGTAGCATGAGGAAAGAGTAATACAAGCGGAGTGCGGCTCTGGTAAGAGGTTGAGGGTGGCATATGTCACACAGCCGTGACAGCTCCGTGATCTGTGACAGGATCATAACACTTTGAAAGATTTTTTCCCTGAGCAAGAGGCTAGGTAGGATTTCCAGTGGTTGATCTTTGTTTTCATGATTTGTTCCTTGAAGTATGCTTGCCACTCCTCATAGCATTTACGAGCTTCAGGTAGGTGGGACTTAAGCCACCATTTTCTGGCTTGGTTTTGATTTTTGAGGATGGGGTTCAGGGTTTCTTTATCCCACCAGCTCTTGTACTTATTGATATTGGTTTTGACTTTTTTGCCCTGTTTGTTGGCTACATCTAGTATGGCGGAGGATAGACTGGTTATGGCTGAGTTGATGTTATCGTGGCTGTTGAGGGTTGGTGAGAGTTAGTTAGTTGAGCCGCAATTGAGCTATGAAAAAGAGGAATATCAATGTTAGTTAAGTTAAGGGAAACATGGGATTTGATTTGTGGGATGAAGGAGAGGTTTAGGAAGGTCTCGACAGGGAAATGGTCTGAGGCTAGGGTATTGGTTAGTACTTTACAGCTCAGTACTTTATTGGCCAAGTTCCAACTAGCCCAGATTAAGTCAATGGTTGTGGGTTGGGTACCGGTGGAGAAACAAGTAGGGACTCCTTTTGGTGAGATTAGTTTGAATCCGTTAGAGCTTAAAAGCTGAAGTGATTTCTTTGCTTGGGAGTCTGAGTTGGTGTAATTCGGTGGGTTCCATGATGAGTGGTGGAGATTGGAATCGGTGGTGATCAATGAGGGGGTATGGCGTGAGTGGTTTTTCTTAAGCCACGACTCTAGGTATATGAGACCTCTATGGGATCCAGGTGGGTTATACCATGAGATTACTCTGAGTTTCGTTTGATTTGAGTCAGGGTTTTTAATGTCAATTCCTAATATGATGTCTGATTGACTAGGTAATATTACATATTGTGATGTAGGGATTAATTTAGAGATGTATATACAGACTCGAGGCCTGTCCGACCAGGCTGAGGGATGGTAATCATATGCTGAGAGACAATGCCAGGCAGCGTGTTGGGGAAAAGATAGGGAGTGGCTGTTGAACCAGGGTTCTTGTAGCGCAAGTACTGAGTAGTGGGTTTGGGTAAGAGCTTTGTGTGTATGTTGGATTGAGCTGTGACAGTTAAAATGTAGGATCAAAAATTTATTGAGAGAGAGTGGTAAATCGGAAATTGTGCTCAGATGATTCGTGTCATCATCATCTACTGATAGTTGAGGTGTGGGTGGTCTTTTGGGGGGTTGCTCGGAGGACTTATAATTCATCATTCAAGTTAAAGGAAAACCGTGTTCGGCGGCAAAACTCCTAAAACTCCCAAATCCTATTCCAAATTTTGAGGTTTACACGTCTCAACCAATTAAATCCATTACAATGTGTGCCCACTGCCACCCCAATTCCATCTATATCCATTTTCCACAACCGAATCAACCCAGGAATAGCTTGGAGTCAACCTGCCCTGCATCAACTATCCCATTTACTTGCACTCAAACAATCGATGTACCTCTGATTCCAACTACCTATCTCTCGGTATGCTTCCAGCGCTCTCCCAGTTTTACATCCATGCCGCCCTGCCTATCAATTCCCTCGACCATTACCTCGAATCAACTCCCTATTTCAGAAAGTTTTGGTCCCTCACTCGCTAGGCTTACCTCGCTTTACGTCCTATGGTCTTACTTTATCTCTTCACCTAAATCCTCGACCCCACACGTGAAGGTTCCAACTCTCAATGAATACTTCAAGCCTAGCAATCAGTCTACTGACCTTCCAGAAGCAGGTCGAGACTTTGTTACGGAATTTCGGGTCAGAGCCTCTCGATTCATCGATATGCTATAAGCTAACACTCTTGACCAAAGGCTTTCCGGTTTGATTTTTTTAGAAGAAGAAAGTTGATGTCTCCTATGGTCCCCAGACTGGCACAGCTCAAGATCGCGCAACCAGATTGGCAAAGGAAGGTAAACCTCAATATGGACTCAGCAGTCTGGTAGTCAATCCGTATGATTGTGTTATCTGACCCTGTCCCGAAAAACCTCAGTCTGTATTTCTCCTCATGATCCAGATATGATCAACAATTATGATTTTGATATGCTCGATCAGATGACAAAGATCCATTGGCTGTTTTTGTGATGGCTACTTATGGCAAAGCCGAGCCCATGGATAATGTAGTTGACTTGCTCAAGTTTCTCAACATTGCGCCTCAAGATCAACTCGACCTCAGCAAGTTAAAGTTTGTCGTGTTTGCCTGAGGGGTTGTACATATGAACTATACACCTGTTGTTCTTTGGAGAGCAAGAAAATGTGTAAATTCTATGGGAGGTTATGAAACTGTTAGTCTTATTCCCTTCTGACTGCTTGAAATTTTGAATTTGACTGATTTTTGGTTTGGGGTTGAGCAAGGTTACAGACTCGAGTAAGATTCCTTTTTCCACTCTTTCAAATCCGAATTATTAATTGATATTCAGTTTTTCTAATTAAACAGGATCCGATCAAGTTCAAGTACGAAACCAAACCAAACCCAATCCATCAAACCATCCCAAACCAAAGACCAACCTCTCCCAAAGATATTACACATCTTCCTCCGAAAGCGAACCATCATCAACATCAAATCATACTCACCAAGCCCCTCAAAAGAAATTAGATAAAAATCTCATTTCATCAAGTTGATTTATCTTAACGGGTCTAAGTCTATTACTTCATTTCAAAGATTAAAACGAGTAAGGTATAAAACTAAAAGAGAAGAAACAAAACAAAGATCAACTGGAAAAGTTAAAGCTGAAGGTGAATTTGAATTATTAAATGTTGAGAATGGTAAAATATCTAAGCAAGATGATTTATTAGAAAACTTCCCTTTGATTTATGTAAGTTTTTTTATCTCTGTTGATATTGTTTTGAACTGATTCTTCTTTTGGATTTGGGTTTTGGCTATTGAAATGACTTAGTAAAATTTGTCCTGATCTATGTCCTGAAGGATTAGATAAGATGAGTGATGCTGTAATCCAAATCGGTAATCAAACCATTTCCTCTTCCCCTCACAAACCTCACAGACCCACATTCAAACTCCCACAAAAGCTGACAAATTTGAATTTTGCCAAAATATAGATGTAGATTGATTTGATGTACCCATCCGACCAATTGATGTGTCAGTAGATCCAAATCAAGATACACCAGAAGCAATAATCCAATACTTGAAAGGTTTTCATTCATCTATGATAGGATTGACAGCATCATGTAAATCTATAATGTGTAAAGTTGATTGAGTTTATTGTTTTATCACACCTAACTTGAAACCAACAGATGATTGTTTTTTTGGCAATTTTGTGTAAGCTCTTTTTCTTTCTGATTTCTCAGTGGTAGAGTTGTTAACGTTAACTTTTTATGTCTGTTTGTGTTCCAGATTTTTTTATTTAAAACTTTAGATCATGATGCATTTAGATCAGCAGCTATCAGCACCAACAAATCTAAAAGAAAATAAAAAAGAATCCAATTTGAAATGAACCAAAATCCTTACAACATCAATTATAAATAAAACAAAATCGGCCAAGGTCTCAGTTGTTAGTGCTGGTGGATTGGTTGTGGATCATTAAAAAAAAGTTTGTAGTTCTTTTGAAGATACTATAAGTGCAAGTCAAAAAAACAGACTTCAATCAAAGTCAAGAAAAGTGATGGTTTGGGTGTATTTGTAGATTGACTTAGATATAATGGATCCTTTGCATTTGATAATTGAGACAAGATAAGATGCCCCCATTTTCAAGTTAAATGCATTTCAAAGCAAACTTTAAGCTTTGATCAATCACTCAAATCCTCAATTCACCAAACAATTCATATACTTCTGAGCCAAAATTGAATAAGTTGTAACTCATTGTTTATTTGGATTTGAATTATTTGGATTTTAAAGGCTTATAATTTTGTCTTTACACTTATTTGAAGTTCCTTCCATGATTCATTGATGGATCTTTTTCAAGTTGATCTGTTGATTTCTTTTAGATTGTCAATCATTTTTCTGATCAAACTCAAGACAATTGAAGATCAGACAGGTTCTATTATTTGGGCCATCAGGAATTTTTGAGTTTCACTTCATGTTCAACTTTGCAAAGTTTGGGATAGTTCCAAATCTTTTTTTCTAAGATTCTCAGCAATAACCATAATGCCATTTCTCAACATCTGTTTCACAGTCACAATGAAAAGCTTGATCAATGAAAATCAAAGACCCCAAACCAAAAAAGGAAAAGCAAAGGACTAATGTAGAAGGTAGAGGGTTTCTTTGATCAGTCAATCTTCCAAGGTTAAAAAATTGTCATGTCTTGGCTTATCACATTTATAAATTAAGGTTAGCAGAGTGATCTCAGACTTCCTTGCTAATCTTCTAAAATTCCTTTGATTTTGCCTAAGCATTTGGCATTTCCTATCTTTATTCACTTGGTTTTGACCAAAAAAGAAAAGAAGAAAATGATCACAAAAGCAACAGAATGAATCAGTGAGGAAGTGTGAGACAGTGTGAAAATATCAAACCAACTGACAATTACATCATGTGGTGTGATGGTTTGACTTGGATCAGTATCAAAAGTGAAAATTCAAATTGTAACAGTGAAGCTTGGGGTACAATGTCGTGGTATTTCTATACCACGTTTTATCTATTTTTCATGTGTGTGTGGTTATTATTACTTATAGGTAACTTAGTACTCATCAACTGGTCAAGGACTTCCGTGCGAGTTACTTATTTACTAAAGAAAATCAAGACGAGTTCATAAGGCAAATTATTCACAAATTACAATTAATACAGTAACGATTTGAGTGTGCGGTCAGAGGTTGCTAGGATGGTTCTTTCTAATTAGGGAATAGGTCGTATGTGACCTGAGCTGTTTCTTTTTCTTTTAATTTTATGTTTTTTTTTGTTCAGTCTCATTTATATGACGTCCTGTGTACGATCTTTTGTTTCTTTCCTCATCGGAAAGAAACATATTTTTCATCTTACTTACTTTCTCCGCATCTCAATCTTTGCCTTATCCTGTTGCACTGAGCACAGGTTTGTCTTGCTTTTCTTTCTGTTTTTCTTTTTCTTTTTCTTACTAACTTATGTTGTGCGTGGTGTGATCAGGTGTGTTTTAGTTTTTGAAGCTCTTCGAAGCTCGATAGGCTTGTGCCGTATTGCTTACGCCTCACCTGATTACCCCAGGTTAGTAATGCTCATCGGAAAGAAACATATTTTTCATCTTACTTACTTTCTCCGCATCTCAATCTTTGCCTTATCCTGTTGCACTGAGCACAGGTGTGTTTTAGTTTTTGAAGCTCTTCGAAGCTCGATAGGCTTGTGCCGTATTGCTTACGCCTCACCTGATTACCCCAGGTGTGTTTTAGTTTTTGAAGCTCTTTGAAGCTCGATAGGCTTGTGCCGTATTGCTTACGCCTCACCTGATTACCCCAGGTGTTCTTTTCTCATACGGCATAGCCTTTTTACGGCTTCTACAAGTTCACTTCACATGGTAGCGAGAGTCTCGAATTTCTTCGACTCTCAATAAGATCCGACAACTTTGTTCTTTATGCAATCTGAAGACGATCACATCAATACTACGGACATTGAATCTGTTTCATCTGACGATTCTGATTCAGACAAATCGAATAAGACAGTTAAACGTAATTCTGGTTTAAGACCTCTTATACTACCTTCAACTCTACCTTCAAATCCTTCTACCATCATGTCTTCCTCCGACAACACTGCAGAATCGTTAACTCCTATACAACTCTTTATTCAACGAACTACCAATCTTCTTAGTAAATTCAACATCAAACATGACTTAACTGATGAAAACTATAATTACTGGCATCTTGTTATTCATGAATCAATTGAATCGATGGGTTACGAATCTTACTTAGACATTAAAGATTACGTTGATGTTTCTCTTTCTAACGAGAAGCATAAGAAGATCAAGTTCCTACTTACTACGTGGATTTTAAACAAGTGTGATGGAGTTAATGGTGACCGAGGACGTGATAGTCTGACTACTAGAGATAGTGTTACTAAGGATATGATTATTACGTATGATCCGTATGTTTTATGGAAATTTCTCAAACAGTATCATGCTAGTATCTCGGAAGCTAAATTGAAACATGTAGAATCAGCTTTATTAGATATGAAACAACTCAGTACTGATAACTTGAAGGTCCATATAGACAAATTCTCGACTTTATTACGGGACTACTGGAAGTATAAGGGTGATATGTCAGATGGACAAGTTGCTCGTACCTTAATCAAAAGCTTAAAGCCTGGATACGAAGTCACCATCAATGTTATTTATATGATTGTTCAACCATTAACTTTCGACAAAGTAAAGAATGAACTATTAAAGCATGAAGATGAACAGGTTTATGATCATCCATCTTTCGGTCAATCCACTCATCATGTGTCTAACTATCAAGCTAATCCTAGTCATATGATTAAATGCACTGAAGACCGTTGTGTTGGTAACACTTTCTCCAACCCTCACAAGCCTGACCAATGCTTCAAGAAGCCTTCCAACTTCGCCAAGAGAGACGAATGGATGATCAAGCAGGACGAGAAGAAACGGTTTAAGAAACGTAAATTTCAACATCAAGCTAGTCATACTGAGGCTCCCAGTTCTATTTGAGGAGTTAAAGTAGTCAGACCACCAATTGCTTCCGCGCATGCTATGACCTTTTCTATTGATTTCCAACCCGTTACTCCCGTCGATACTCAGCCTATCACTATAGCGGTATCTGACATTGTCACAGTAGTAGATGTATCTGCCGCTTTCGTGCATGTTCCAGTTCCTCATGACTTCAAATATCCTACCGAGCCGATTCGAGTGATCTCTTTGTCCCAAGATACTCAACCTTCAGACAATCAACCCTCGGCTCAAGGCTCTGAACTCGTTGACTATGATGCGACTGCATCGTCTGTATCTCCCATCGACGGTATCTGGGCGTTAAACGATACGGGTGCTTCCCACCATATGTTTAATGAATTAAGATTCTTCGATGCTGCTACAGTCAAACCACTCGAGGACTCCAACAAACGTCTTAAATTGGCCGGTGGCGATGCTTCCTTGGCTGTTCATTCTACCGGTTCAGTTAAACTTAAGGCAGGAGACGGCACCATCTTTACTTTAGCCGAATGTTTATACGTACCTGAATTGTCCAGGAACCTCATCGCTGGTGGCGCCTTGTTGAAGAAGGGAGTTGTCACCATGATCAACCCTTCGGATCCTGACTGTTTCAGCTTGGTCATGGGTCAATGCGCATTATTCAATGGCGCATTCTCTGGCAATCTTATGCTTGTAGCTCTTGAACCTGTGAGTTCTACTACCATTAAAGCAATCGCTTCCTCCAACTCTCACTCATGTCATCTTCAACACCAACGTCTAGGTCATGTGAATCACAAGTACTTGGATGAAATGGTTAAGAATGGTAGTTTGGTTGGACTGTGTGATGCTTCTTCTACTACCAAGTCATGTCCTGTCTGTATTCAGTCAAAGTCTAAAAGACTTCCCTTTTCTGGTACTCGTCCACGCGCTACTTCGTTCCTTCAAAATGTGCACGTAGACTTAAGTGGCATCAATCGTGTTGTAGGATTGAATAGTGAAGCGTATTTTCTTTTGTTCACGGACGATTTTTCATCTTTTC